TCTAATTTAGGAAATAGCGATGAGCCAAACGGTTGTATTGACCAAGCCTACGAGTTAGATTGACAAGGTTGCCGCTAAAAATGACCTATAATCAATTTCCCTTATTGTTAGTATGTATTGTGACATGATATGTGATTGCTCAAATGCTAGCTTATTGGTGCCTACAATGAGCATACTTACCATTTGGATCTCTATAACCTAAGTCTGCTTTTTTGAAGGTTTGCCCCTATCTCCTTCATTAGTGCAGTCTACTAAATACAGATAGTCATTCTTCAGTTCATCCCTCTATTTGGTGTCCTGTTTTTGTTACACATTTCATTAGTTCCAAATAAAAATCTCCATACCTGAATGAAGCCTAGGCACGTAATTGTCAGGGTTGAAGGACAGTATGCTAAACACTACTAGGCTAAATTCGCCAGTCACGAGGCCAACTTAATTTGGGTTACAACGATACCAGCACTCGAATCATGTACATACAATCAAAGGTGGGGAGATAAGAAGTGGTGTGACCTGGTTTTCTCAACTTGGAGAGACTTAAACGAACGCATCTTTTTCTGAGTCCTCTGCAATAGAAGTCATGATAATCTCCAGCATCGAAATGTGGATTTGATACCAAATTAAGTAGCTCATCAAGAATCGGACGTGTCGGCTATCTACGATGGTTGATGTTGGAGTACCTTTCATTTCGTTTGAAGAGGCGAGTGGAAAGGATTGATAAGTTGGCCTCATCGGAAGCTGTAGAGGGATTGCCTTGGAGCTGTGATTCATCGCGGCAGCAGGGAGGGACGCCGATGGTATATAAGCGCAAATCTACAGCCACAGCTCCAAGGCCTTTCCCTACAGTTTCCGGTGAAGCCAACTTACGAATCCCTTGCACTCGCCTCTTCAAACGAAGTGGAAAGTACTCAAATATCAATCAATTAGGGGATTCGTTGAAACCCAATTTTTCTACATATCTGTCATGGTTGCCGGTCGGCAAGACCTGGCTGAGATTCTGGTCATGCACAGGCCTATTAGATCGTATAATGAAGACAAAGATGGCGTGGCTCTCTGTTTGGTTGCAGTCTCCTTTAGTTTTATAGTACTAGCACGGCCTTGTTTTCTCAACCCAAAATTATACCTTATCACATATTTCATCTCTATCGAAAAGTGCAGAATCCTGGGCAGTGATCAAGTAATAGGCCAGTAATATTGGTTCGGCCTTGTTCTCGCAACTTGGTCTGAGCGACAGGAAGACCTTATGGAACGTACTTAGTCACATGTTCTCTGCCATAGGAACCAATATTACTGGCCTATTACTTGATCACTGCCCAGGATTCTGCACTTTTTAGTAGAGATGAAATATATGATAAGGTATAATTTTAGGTTTTAAAGTGTGGGCCAATTACCATAGTGACAAGAGAGACGATTCAGATATTGCCCGACTCACTTCAATTATTAGTTTAATGCACTACCCAGACATTCAATATACTGTGTGTCTGCTAAATTTGAAGTTATTTTTACTCCTCTTAATACCATTTTACGCTATAAAAAGTGATTACCAAGTTACTGCTTCATTTATCTTATTGTCTGGCAAGCAGCGGGTGAGATAGGTAAATTTCCTAAGCGATGATTTTCATTTTTGAGTTTTTAGATTGCCCATAAAACCCTTGATGTGTGAAGGATAGCCGACGCTATAAGTTATAAGTTGATATCAGCTAAAATAAATAAAAACATTATCTAGCAGTATATAATCCAAAAACCTTTCTTCATTTCAGCCAATTTCTGACGATGTATTTTCCCTTTGCTACATTCTTTGTTTAACGCTTGACTACCGTAATAAGTGGGTGAAAAATTTGGAGGTACGTTGCGGTGACAACTATCACGACAATAGTATGCTCAGTCTGGCTTAATGGCTTCCGGAAATGTAGATTGGTGGCCATCAGGGCTCATCTTAGGCGCGGTCCAAATAAAAATAGCAATGCAATTTCTGCAGTAAAAACATTAAGACTTCGTCGAAGTCTCTAACATGAGGCTGCCATTTACAGCAGTCTGCCATAAAACGACATTGACAGTTAGAAAAATGCAGTCATTAAGAATTTTCCATTTATCTTAATATGCCGTGAACGAATATACATACCTATTTATCTCTTTTTTTCTTAAATTTGTCGACTATAGGTGACGAGCTTGTTGTTGCTTTGCTATGAATGAAGTACAACAGCGTTGCTTGATACAAATTATTATCAGTCACCCAGAATGAAGGCAAGCTTAAGCGTGAAAGATTGTCAAAGTGTCCCTAGCTAGACCTGATTCAAGCTATTATGTTCCTGTGCGATGAGAATGGTCTCAGGTGCCATGGCAACGTTGCCGCATTACAGGTAAGAAAGATTTTCAATGATTCGAAGGCTTATTGGTGTGTGCGTTTTTCTATCCTGACTGCTTTAGCAACTTTGGTGCGAATAGTCACTGGGATATTTAAGAGCAGATGTTATTGGCTAAGAGAGAATAGGTAAACGCGCGCAATGATCGGCTATACTCAATCTTTGATTGGTTTTTAAGTGAAGCCGAGTAGTGATCGACTCTTCCAATCAATGAGAGAAGGCTCCTGACTTTCTCTTGAATGACAAATCAATGAAATACTGACAAAAGCCAATCAGGAAAAACGAAATTCATAAATCGAATACGAGTTTCGCATTAGCAGGTGTGATTAAATTAATTATTTAAACACTTTTTTGAGTTAAATAGTTGGTGATTTTATTGCTAGAATTCCGCTCAGAGTGAACAATTAAAGGTTTAGTTACGATCAAGACCCAGCCGTCTTGGAAGGAAAGCTATATAAGTCGGCTGATGGCACAAAGAAGCCTCAATTAAACGATTCTTGAAGCTAACTATCAAACAAAGAGTGGGAAATAATTCTAGTCATGCAAGGTCGCAGGTGATTGAGTACTGATTGATGGATTTTTCCACATTAATACGAGTAGACTTCACGTTTTAATTAAATTTCACAAATTCTTGCATTTTAAAAAGTATTCTCACCCAGGTTTCACTGGAGCTCTAACTTCGTCTATACCTCATCGGTATACACCATGGGGTATAGAAATCTGGTAGTGCAGTGTATGATCTCGAAATGCTGTCATCATGCCACACTGCCACGAATGTGCCTGAGTCACATTACAAACGCGAATTTCAGGATAGGCCAGGGCTCACCAATGTCCCATTTATAGTGGGATTGTCGATGAGGCTAACTTTTATTTTGCTATTCTGGTTGACCAAGTTGCTAATATGCAAAAAAAGTATGTTTCTGAGATTATCAGTAAATCTTGAGTAATAGTTCGAGTCCTTGATCATTTCATGCGAGCTAGGATGGCTAGAACTCACGTTCAAAATTTAATGATAGCCTCGAATACCTACTTTATATGAATATAAGTAACGTAGTCAAGTATAATGGCAAAAGTCAAGTTTATGATTTGTGTTTGCCTTCTCGATAATCCTATTATAAATGTGATATAGGAGTGGCCCGGCTTTACTCGAAATGAAAGTCTTCACTTTTGCAAAGAAGCACTCGTAACAACGTGGTAGGGTGACAATATTTCGAGATTATGCACCGCACTATCAGGTCTTGATCCCAGCTGGGGGGGATCAGACATATTATCGGTCATAACTACAATTCAGCCTAGCCTGGATGATAATACTTTTGGGAAAGCAAGGCGACGAGAACTTTTGAGGAAGCGTGAGCCTACTCACTTCTTCATTGGAAAATTTAACTATCATTCCTTCTTCATCTAATGTGACCTAGAGTGACTATCATTTTTATTCAAAAGTTACTGCTAGTCTGTAAAACTTTTTTTGGCATAGTGCCTGGCCAGATTACAGAATCCCAACGGCAGCTGGTAGCGAACTTGGGACACCATATGCGGAATCTAGAAAGAGGATGTTTCAAGGATTGGTAGTGTATTTTTTCCCGCAATGTAATGATTAGGCTTCATGGTGTCATCAAATTTCACTTTGACATGCTTCATAAAATCTTTTCTCATACTTTCTGGCCTGCAGTTAAGACTCTTTCCCAGCTTCATCAGCATTGCCAGAGGGATTCGAGCCCGGTTCTTGCGCGTCATAGCGGCACGTTGACACATTACTAAACAGGCACTCGTGGCAGTACTGCATAACGGTTAATGTGTTAATAATCTCTGCTGCACTACCCGGGTTCGGGTACCGCTGGGGGTGCTGATGAGACCTAGGCCAAGTCAAAACGGCAGTCCAGTCTGGATGAGATTAATTTTCCTGAGACAAAGCCATGCAAAATTCAATGGGAAGGTGAGACTTATTCAAATGGTTGTGGAATAGCTAAGCCACAAGTCCTTTTCCACCTTAGAGAAAATAGGGTTAATGCATCTCATATATATATATATATATATATATATGATCTACTGGTGGTCTCGAAAACTCACCTCGCTTAAGGTTGTGTGTTTTAAAAGCTGACGCTTTAGCCTCAACTTTCATGTTCACAGTTTGAACCCATCAAATGGTGCTCAACTGGTGGTATATCATACTTCAATGCAAATGACCCCCTAAGATAAAGGACAAAGTTTTGCGTTTGTATTCTTTCCATCTCATCGTGGTTTTAATCGCTACCAGTCAAAAATAAAACCAATTAAAATTGCATTAGGCCGGCTAGATCCTTGGGTTGTGAACAACTCTAAACGAATAAAAGATTCAGTTTCGAAAGCCTACTTAACTCAAAACAACTTCTTATCTCTCTCAACTCAAGTCCAGATTTAATAATAATGTCAAAATCTCACTCTCTTAGTGGTAGCTTTAAATTAATGATGGAAACAAATTTGCCTTATTATACATCCCTAATGCTAACGGGAAATAAAGACCTGACATACTTAAAATTAATCTTTCACTGTAAGTTAGTTGAACTGAGATAAAGAAACACAGAATCAAGAGCTAAATCTCTACTTGGTAATTCGATCACATCATTTGACGGAAAATGCATTCCTCCTTGGATGAGTAAGCAGGGATAGTGAATTATAAAGAGCCAGTTTTATCAGATAAAATTATACCTACTTTCTACTAACCAACTGAACAGTTCTGTGCCACGTGATATATTCTTCAAATTATATTTGGCAAATGTTCATTTAATTAGTTAAAATGAATGAGAATATTACTTTAGCTACGAGTTTGATTAATTTAGATGGAAAGCAATCTAGTTCACTCCAAACATGGTTTATAACGAGGTACCCTTTATACCTAACACCATTTTCGTATAACCTTTCAAAATTGTTAATCAATTATTTTATTGAGAGAAGACACTTTTCAGGTTATCTTCACCCATCATGATTAGCCATATTGACATTAATGATGTATGGCTTGCACTTCATGATAGTATGTCAACAAAAGATCTCATCCATAGGTGAAGCATAGTTGTATCTGCTTACTTATTCTCTCTAACAAAACAACATTTTTCAACTGATTGCAGGAGGCATGAAGACCAAGATGGTGTAGCCTTTTTATGGTTTTACTCTCTTTTCGTTGTAAAGAAGTTGTTTGACCTTGTTTTAGCAACTTGATCATATTGGTAGCAAGGTCTAGTTGAATGCACCTATTCCGGAGTCCATAGTATGCATGATAATTTACAGAGTCGGGCCGTGGACGTGGTACCTTCCCAGACGTTTCGTCGGCATCGTCAGTGAGCTTTGCCGTTCTTAGCACCACACTACAACTCGCCAAAGAAACAAGTGAAGCCGATCCTTTGACCAATTGTCTGAAAAACAATTGTGGTATCTCTAATTCTGTCCTGAGTTATTCACCAATCCTATATCCTCGTATCACCTCATAACTATCACAATTTATTATTTAAATTTGGCATGCTGGGCCCTCTCCAAACGTTACGCTGGCTTTCTCACGTCCTCACCTCGCAATCCTCTTCCAATAGGTCTCTTATCCGAGTCTCACTCTTTCCCAGTAGGATCTGCCTCCTACCTTCCTGGTTCAGATATTTCACCCGACTCCTGCCGCTCTATCTGTACTACACGAAGCGTTATTTCCCACACAGTCTAAAAGCCTTTGATGGCATACATACTCACGCCTCGCTAAGTAGACCCTAAAAATTAAAATTCTCAAGCTGGAGGAGAGACAAACATGAGGCTAAGAGCCCGAGTAATTTTCATGGTCAAGCCTTTGTTTGCGACACAGGCTTGAGACTGTGTGGAAAGAAACGCTTCGTGTAGTACAGATAGAGT